TTAAAGAGCTCACTTAAGGCCTATTGGAAAGAATCTTTTAGTATAGATTTCACAGTATGATTTTAAGAAATGAAGGACTGCAAAATTTTCAGTTCTGGGCATATCATATTCATGGGGGTTTGATGGGTACTGAATGTTTATTAGCTATTTTATGTGGACCTTAAAAACGTACTTTTTAGCCAACTTTTTATTTTGTTAAATTTCAAACCAACAAAAAAGTTGAAAATAATGATCCAAGGAGATATTTCATTTTAAAGAGCATACCTCCTTAGCTTCTGGTTGTCAGTTTGTAAGGCTTTATTACAATTGCTTAAATGTTGATAGAAGATGGATGGGTAAATAGATAGTCAGACAGATAGAGGCATAGACATAGATAGATAGGTAGGTAGATAGATAGATAGATAGATAGATAGATAGATAGATAGATAGATAGATAGATAATAGACAGACAGATAATGTCATGTGCTGTTTACTCTGGCTAGATATAAGGATCTGATTGCTTATTTATTCATGAGCATCTATTGGCCTCTCAGCAACACTGGACAGTGTGTGAGTCCTTCCCAGAGAGTGTTTTCTGTATAGCCTTAAAGGTACTGTAGATAATGCCTTCTGACATTCTAGTCATTGAGCTTTAAAAGCATTCCAGTAACTTTTCTTTTGTGTTCAGAACATCCATAAATTTTATCAGTGTTGTCTATGAACTTAGTAAATAAGATTTAAGCAAGCAATGGTATAAATAACTATAAAATACTATGCTATAATGTAGGTATCGGAGTTATTTGAAATTTAGAAATTCTGATTACAAAGGTGCCATATAATCAGATTTCAAAAACAATTTAAAAAGCCATTTTTTGGCATGCAAGCAGAACATTTATATTTCAATCCAAATTAAAAAAAAGAAATCTATGTTTTTACCTTAATTAATGTTTGATCTAAAGTATCAGAATAATTGCCTTAAATTATCCACTTCATTTTGCTCTGTAGCACAGACTTGACCAAAGTGAAAATAGCATTGGTAGTTATGTCCTTTGAGAAGTGTATGTAGACAATTTACATAATTTAGCCAAAATGGCCAATTAATTGGTGTAATTATGAATGTCTAGACTTAGTTTTGATGGGGAAATGGAAGGAGGACCTCTCATCTCTCCAATGGTGAGTTGCCTCTAGCTGTACAGATCCATATGCTCCTCGCGTTGAA